AATCCACATTTTCTAAAGCAGTTGCGAATTGTTTGTGTAGTCACATTGTTCCAAGCTTTGTGGCTGATTATTATAGGAGTCAAAACGGTTACTTTCGGAGAATCATTATTATCCAAGCAAGCCAAAAATTCAGATACAATTTCCTTTCGATATAGAAGTTTGAAGTTTTTAATGCCTTGGTCCAGAGGTTGGAGTGTCGAGGTTGTGTTTGCTGGAAGAAACTCAATTCGTACATTAGAGAGAGTTGGGGGGTTGTTATGTGCAGTGCAATTATCGACAAAAATTATAATTTTTCTATGTTGTTTTCGCATGTCATTATTGAGAGTTTCAAGCCATTCGTTCCACAGTTTGGTTGTCATCCACGATTTTTTGTTGTTTTTATACGTCACCGGCAAAGATTTGTCATTTTTAAAGCACCTAGGTTTAGCGGACTTACCTATAAATAAAGGCCTTAACTTCTCCGATCCATCCATATTTACCGCAAAAAGTAAAGTGACTCGCTCCTTACTAAGTTTCCCTCCATGGCACTTTTCATTTTTAAACGTTAGTGTTCGGTCAGGTAAACATTTAAAAAACAGTCTTGTCTCGTCAGCATTGAACACATTTTTCGGATCGTACTCACATAATAAGTCTTGAAGTTTCTGCCAGTCGTTACAGATATCTTCATCGACACTTGCACTTTCTCCACAAATTTTTTTTGAACACCAAGTTATGTCGCTTTTTAAAATTAGATAACCAACCGTCACTAGCATTAAAATCAGAGATTCCAAACATTTCAGCATAACTTTTAGCTTTTTCTTTGATTAAAATACCACTCACGGGAATATTTTGCTGCCTAACTTGATTGAACCAAGTGAATAAACATTGTTCTATACGGGGAAACTCACTTAGTCGTCTCTTTTTCCGGCTACTTTGTGCGTCAGTTGTATTAAGAATTGCTTCTTTCTGTTTCAAAATTGTAGAAAGTGACGAAAAAGGAATTTTAAAACTATCTGCGACTTCTTTTTTCTTTTTACCACTTTCGATTTATTCAATAATTTTTTTCTTGTCCGAAATTGACAAACACTTTCGTTTTGAACTCATAATTGTAACTCGTAAAACGCGACGTATTTTCAAATGTACGGTCACGTTTAACACAACGAATAGAACTAAAACGGTACCGATATGTTACATAATATGTTACGTACATTTTGCGTAGAGCCACTAATCGACATAAGTCTTGTCTTAATTGCGATACTGTACTTGAGTGTACTATCGCATGATAATCATCAGAAAAAACTTCGTAATCTATTATGTGGTAATAGCAACATACTTATTTTTATATATTTTTCATGGAGTTATACACTAGAGACATATATCTTATCTTAATTAAAATTAAAAATTCGTAATAGAAAGCTCCAAATTTATAAAAATTCGTTACATCGCGAGAGTTTTGATTAAAAACACTTCGCTACATCGAGGGGACCAAAATACATTACATTTGTTCGTTATACCGCGATATTTTCAAGGGACCGGTAGTTTTATTCGTTATATCAAGATTTTCG